GACATAGACCTATCAACTTTCTTGACCTATCACGGTAGATTCTTATGCCAAGGGCATAACTAGCATTCCCCAAGTCCTTCATGGCGAAGTTCTCGCTCAACCAAGTCTTTACAGACGTAAGAGCAGGAACATCGTTACCCATTAACAATATGTCATCGACATATAGGATTAGGAATACTATCACACTCCCACTGACCTTCTTGTAAACACAAGACTCGTCAGAATTCTTCTCGAAACCAAAACTAGTGATGGTTTCATCAAAGCGTATATACCAACTCCGAGATGCTTGTTTCAATCCGTAGATTGACCGTTGCAGCTTACAGACTTTGGCAGATTCACCACCAATTGTAAAACCGTCAGGCTGTGTCATATAGACATCCTCTTTGAGGTTCCCGTTAAGGAAAGTCGTCTTGACGTCCATCTGCCAAATCTCGTAATCGTAGAATGCTGCAATCGCAAGCATTATCCGAATGGAATTCAGCATCACAACTGGAGAAAAGGTTTCATCATAGTCAATTCCATGGATTTGTCTATAACCTTTTGCTACCAATCTAGCTTTGAAGGTATGAACCTTCCCGTCTACGTCTGTTTTCTTTTTGAAAATCCACTTGCACCCTATGGGTTTTATCCCTTCGGGTGCATCAACCAAGGTCCAAACTTGGTTTGTGTACATAGACTCCATTTTGGATTTCATGGCATTAAGCCATTGTTCGGATTCGGGGCACGTGATTGCCTCGAGGTAGGTCTCAGGTTCGCCTTGGTCTACCAGCAAGACGTCACCTTCATCAGATACAAGGAAACCGTATCTAACCGGAGGATTACGCATCCGGTCTGACCTACGTGGTAAAACCTGAGCCGGTCGAGATACTAAATCTTGACGCTCGGGTTCCACTACTGTTGAGATCTCTTCTTGTGGTTCTCGAATTTCTTCGAGGTCTACCTTTCTCCCACTAGAAATAGCAGAGAGAAACTCCTTCTCAAGGAAGGTTCCGTTCCGAGCAACAAAGATTTTGTTATCGGTCGGATGATAGAACTCATACCCTTTCGTTTCCTTAGGGTATCCCACAAATTTACACCTGTCTGATTTGGAATCTAGCTTACCAGACGTCATGAGGCGTCTAACGTAAACATCACAACCCCAAATCCTCAAGTACGACAAATTTGGTTTTGTCCCACGCCATAACTCGTATGGTGTGCTCTCAACAGCCTTAGATGGTACGCGATTGAGTGTGTGTGCGGCTGTTAATAGTGCTTTCCCCAAAAAGACTCTGGTAATGTTGTCAGACCCATCATACTCCGAACCATATCGAGCAGCGTTCGGTTTCTCATTTCAGACACTCCATTTAATTGGGGTGTACCGGGAGGAGTCAGCTGGGATAGGATCCCGTGCTCTTTTAGATAGTCGTCGAACTCCAGGCTTAAGTACTCACCTCCTCGATCCGAGCGGAGGGTCTTGATACTTTTGCCTAATTGTTTCTCTACTTCGTTTCTGAATTCTTTGAACTTGTCAAAGCATTCCGATTTGTGTTTCATGGGATACACATATCCATACCGACTGAGGTCGTCAGTAAATGTTACGAAGTATGAGAAACCACCTCTAGCTTCAGTGTTGATTGGGCCACATACATCAGAGTGTATGAGGCCTAATACATCACTCGCCCTTTCACCGTGACCGGTGAATGGAGCCTTTGTCATTTTACCGAGTAAACAAGATTGGCATACATCATAAGACTCGAGGTCAAATGAATCAA